TCCCTCTTGACTGCAGCACTTGTGATCTTGGCATAATGGTGCATGAAACAGTTCTCCACCTGTTGCAGGTTCCAGTTAGAGTGGCCCTCCAGCTGTCAACAGCTGCAGTACAAGAACTGTAGAGCTGGAGTTTATCCCACAGCTGGTTAGCTGGTTAGACTCAAGCTAGCACAAAGTGACAGACTATTAACACTGAGCAGAGCTTAAGAGCAGAAGCCACTAACAGGGAAGCCTGATGACCACCGCAGGGGTGAAGATGATCTGGTGAAAATCCAAACACCGCCCCAAGGCGGACCCACCGTTGTCAACTCCAAAAAAAAACATGGCAACAAAAAAATAGAAAACACCCTTGCCATGACACAACCACAATGGCTGCACCCTGCAAACGGACCACTAATTAACCGCTGTGATTCCTGGACAGACCTCTTTTCATTATATATGAGGCAAACCTAGACAATCTTAGGAAGGTGGTTTTAATGTTATGCTTGTACATTGTATCTCCACAGGGTGCCAAATAGTAAATAGCATAGAAGAAATACATATATTGAAATTATTTTAAAAAAGCAGTCTGCTCCCTGGGATTCTGCTTTGAAACATTTTAATTGTGTGCAAAAAATGCTAAGTGCTCTCCTGATAATTTAGTATTCTTATTTTTGCCATCCAGCCTATCTGAAAAACTATTAGATGGACTTCCATGAGATTCGGTTTCTTAGTGTTGGGACCATATTCAATTCAATTCAATTTTATTTATATAGCGCCAAATCACAACAACAGTCACCTCAAGGTGCTTTATATTGCAAGGTAGACCCTGTAATAATACATACAGAGAAAAACCCAACAGTCATATGACCCCCTATGAGCAAGCACTTTTGCAACAGTGGGAAGGAAAAACTTCCTTTTAACAGGAAGAAACCTCCGGCAGAACCAGGCTCAGGGAGGGGCGGGGCCATCTGCTGCGACTGGTTGAGGTGAGGAAAGGAAGACAGGATAGAATATGCACAGAATTATGCTGCTTAGTATTAATATGTAGTTGGAGTTGTGAAACCACAAAAAGTGGATTGAAAGCAGAGGAAAGAGCAACGCCTACACGAAGTCAAATTTCATTAGAGTGAAAAAAGTAAGGAGCAGTACATGCTGCCCACACTGAGACTGAACGCTGAAAAGTTGAAAGAAGAAAGCACCAATAGACATAGCACCAGAGGAAAGTGTTTATGGGGATAAATGGAAAATAAGGTCTGATTGCCACGTTAAATAGGTTGCTGAACACGTGATGATGCAGTGTATCACTCTGTTCCAAATGGACACACGCAGTGGAAAAATAGATTTGAGTAAATCATACTCCCCAGATGCACTTTACAATTTGTTCCACTTTAATATTGTGTTGACTCTGACCGCAGAAAGCTGTCTCACTCTGAGGCTTGCTGGCAGTGTAAGTCAATATTGGCTTAGTCTCCACAAAGCTGCTGGACTGTGCTCAAAATCACTATATTCCAGTGTGGGAGTGAAATGTGGCAACGGGGTGAGAAGTCTCCTCAAACAAGCACACAAGTGAGAAGAAACAGCAGAGGTGCATCTTTAGTACACAACAAACACACAATCACCTCTCACACATTCTCACCTAGTGTTGACTTGAGGGCAATAGGGTCATGTGAGTCATACACCCTTGAACACGCACACAAACCTTCCTTACTACATATACACACAAACCCTTGCAGTTGACCTGAAGGCAGATCTCATCAAGGTTGTATCTGTTTGTTTCTCACTCTGTCAGTCTCTGCCTTCAACGCCAGGGAGTAAATTACACTCTTACACTGAGCTTTCTCTCATATTGTTAATCATTTTACCAGCTGCAGAATGGGAGAGTTGACTACAGGTTCTCATTTTTGAAATCTGAAAAATGTAGATTTATATTGCATGGATACTGTTTGCAACCTTGCAAATTTCGGGTTTACTGTAAATTGATCTTGTACTCATGAACCTTCAAACTTCTGGTAACGTGACTGACAGTGATCATCTCAATGTAATGTTGGGAAACCAACGTTACACTGAGATGATCACTGTCAGTACCCTCATGTGGCAGCCATCTACACCAGCATCGCGCTGCGCCCTGCCATACCATCTACCAACTACTTCTATAGCACTGCGCACTTGCGGTTTAGGCTCCAATGACCTGGAGCCTAAACCGGTCATTGGAGCAAGTGGTTGCTATCACTTGGCAACCACTTGCCAACTGGTAACCACTACCAGTTGGCAAGTGGTTGCTTGTTATTGCGACGCCTTTTGAAAGGAGTTGGTTTCAGCACTAACGCATAACTTTCACACTGAAGGCAAGTAATGTCTGTTTCAGGTTTTTTCATCACACTTTTTGCCCTTTAGTTGAATTGAAGCAAACACAAGGAGATGTGGCACCCTCTTTATGACTGATTTCACCTGTGTACAGCCAGCAGCTACTTGCCAACACATTGGGGAAAATACATTTTTCCCTACCAACAAGAGGTTGCCAGGAGGTCCCTGACTTATCTCTAGGCCCGTGGGATTGAGACCTTAGGTACATATGTCTCTTAACTGGTACTTTATATCACATTAATGCCATGAAACAGATTTAAAACTAACTTTTGACCCTCTGTGGATTAGAGAATAATATATCTAAACGTATCCGCCCAATTCAGTCAATAAAAATATATACTGTACAATCATTCCATCCTGGAAAAAGAGAAGTTCAAAGAAAGAAATAAAAGCCCAAAATTGCAGTAACATTCATGCCCATGATGAGTGGATGTAAACTACTGACCACAACTATGTAGTGGGGTTGGAGGTTCAGTCCTTAATCTCTCTGCGTGCTCAGATGTTCTTAGTAAAGACACTGAATCCCCCAAGGTTGCAACTGATAGCAGCCACTGTGGAAGAGAGCTCCACAGCCACTGGTGTGTTTGAATGTGTAAATGAGAAACACACTCTAAAGCACTTATCTGGCCAAGATTAAAAGGCGTTATAGTGCACATTATTTAAAATTTCATGAAGGATGTCATCCCTAATCTTGCTAGGCTTAGATTACAGGAAGTAAAAGAGACTTGGCAGCAGGTAAGAAATAGCCAAGAAAACCTTTTGTTCCATGGAAAGTTCCATGATCACTTGAGTAAATTGCCCAGTTACCTCAGCTATTTGAGTTAAATATAGTACTTAGAATATCAGGTCACGGGCAGTTCTCACAGTAGTTGCACCGTTTTTTCACACTGAAATGTAAAAGCTGTGTTCAAATACTTTGCTGCATAGAAATAGAATAAACTTCAAAATATATGAAACCACATTCTCTCGTTTCACTAGAACATTAAAAGGTTCTATTAATTCATCTGCAGTCGCAATTGTACATGCTTTAATTTTTCAATATGTATGGTTTCAATGACTATATCTTATATACAACTGTGCACAGACGTGCTTGTGTGGAGTGCAGTCCTGTCCTGTATACATGTAACACGACGTTATCTGCAACTATTCTTTTTCAGTTGTGTTAAATCCATTGTCTGAAGTCAACACAACAGAAGTATAATACCAAACTCTGAGTTCAGGCACTGGCCTGGTATGTCAGTAGAATTTAAATTCACTTAAACAGATGTCACATTAGGTTGGACATTTCCCAAATATCAGCATAGTCTGAGTTGTTCATAACACCAAATGTGTTTGCATATTTTTTGGCAGCGATCACTGAGTATGCGGTGTAGAATATTCATGTCTCATAACCAAAGCTATGAATTTCACTTTTAGCCCTAATCAGTGCTTCTCTTGTTTTGAACACAGATACTAAATGTGAGTCTATTTTTTAACTCCATGAGATTATCTGTCAGGCCAGCAGCCAGAAGCAGATAAGTGGCTGGGGTGATGAGCAAGCAGGACTAACCCAAAGCTCCATGTCTTTTCCTTTGTAAGCATTGATCTTTATTCCAAATCATTTGGCCAAAAAAAGTAAGATGTAAAATAACAGACTATAAGGAGGGCAGAAAGAAGTCAGAGATTCTTCTTTTATATGCGTTATTTGAACTATTTTTTGAACTATTTTTTTTTTTTGCTCTTATACTGTTTAGAGATCTACTCCATAGTCCTCATAGTACCAAATGCTTTGGGCTTTTAATAAAGATTTTAGTACTGGTTTGGTTTTCTTACTGGTTACTTCCTCCCTACCATTGCTAGATGTTGCTCATAGGGTCTATATCTTACAGTATAAAGTGACCTGAGAAAGCTGTTGTTGTTACCGGTGCTGTAACTAAATTGAACTGAAAAGGAATTCTTAACAAATTAGTAAACATTATAATTTCAATTGTTTGTAACCAGTAAATAACTGTTAGCAGAGTTTTATTTACTATCAATTAATAATCATTCAATTGTGTTACTTTAAATCTGATATTGATAATTCTACAGCTAAAGCCTCCACTCAGTGTTAATTTACTGTGTCATAAAAAATATGTATTTGTTTAAATCATATTTTATTTGATAAATTACAATTAAAAGATCAAAGTGGAAATTTGCATGTATTACACAGTGCCCTTGTATTAATTTCTGCACTACAAATCACTTGTCTTGAATCACTGCAATATTTAATATGTTTAAATATTAATATTATTCTATATAGTTTTTATCCCAAAAAACTATATTAGTGCGACTGTTTGTATTTCTGTCTTAGCCAAGCTTCATTATTGCAGCACTAAGTCTGAGGGGCACTCTTGGAGCAACTATTTTAGAGACGTGCTTCCTTTGCATACACTCGACCTTTCTACTGAGTATCACAAAGTGCAGCCTGGTAGCTTTAGCACAAACATGTTGACAGACAAACAGAAAGGCAAACAAATGCCCCTGAAAACCTTCTGCCGATGCATGTCCACATAACAGCAGTTTGAGAATTCTTGCATTGCTAACTTTCTGCTAATTTGCAGATCAAGGCTCTGCAGCAGAGGTCAGTTAGTAACCTCTAGGTCAATTATTATCATTGTATGTTCTTTGTTTTGCAGGTAAACGACCGACTGGACAGGTACTGCTGTGGATTCATACCTGATCCCGCAGAACTCTGCGTGGAGAACCTGCTTTATGCAAAGTGTGCCAACACCAAAGACCTGCTGCTGGTTCACATCCTGGTACGTATCACAGCCTGCCCTAATGCTTTTTCATCCTGTCTAGTCGCTGCAGACAGTAGACCCTTACGTTTCCTCTTTGTTCCATTATCAAAGTAATTTATGTCCCGAGACACTACAAGGCAAACATTAATCAGTTATCTTCAGTCAGCAGACCACTTTACTGATCACTGTTTGATGGATGTGATAGCAAACAATGCTTTTCTCTTGCCATTCTAAATTGTTATTTAATCAAAAAATATTTAAGTGTCAGTTTTCTGTTGTTGCCAGATCATTATTCATTATATCAGTGGGAATGTACTGAATAAAAACCACCTTGGCTCCCCAGTTTTCGTTACACAACAATTTGTTGCTGTCATTCTTCCGTGGAAAGACAATGGTTCTATATTTACATGATACAGCAGGAGTGGATATTAAACTCTCCGAGTGTTGATGTGTGTGTATTCACAGACAGAAAATGAGTTCAGAGCCTGGCAGATGTTACCGAGCTGATTATGCTGCATGTGCTTCATATTGTTTATAAGAATAGATAAAAGCTCACAGCATTTCCTGCAGGAAACAAGCTCTGCAGAGAGAGTCTCGACACATCTTAGCAGCACAAAAGAAGCAACATTAGGTACATTGGAACCTCACAGAAATTTAGACTCTTGAACAATATAAAGACAATAAAAACACCACGACAGCCCGTCAGTCCAAGTTAGTGCAGGTGTGTGTGGTTTTTGTACAAGCAGTCGGGTTGTGTGCTTTTGTGCTTTCTCTGGGTTAGCTGAACATCTTTGCACGCTCTGAGTGACACACAGCAGTCTGTTTCTGACATCTGTTTGTTTGTACGTCTGATGCAGTGGAGGGGTTTCTGGGCTGCATGTTCTCAAGGGTGCCGAATATCTTTAGTGATGAGGAAAAAAACAATTTGATATTTTAAATGTTGCTGCACATTTTTAATATTAATATAAAAATAAATGGTGTCCCTAAATCAACCGGATATTGTCCAATATTCCTTCAATATGAAACAATAGCAGTTACAGGGGGCAGTTTTGAGGATGGAACTTGAGAAAAAAGACTTCAGGAAACACAATTTCTGCTTATGCTTTATATCTCCACTATATAATGTAGATAAGGTAAATCTATTTTAATGTCATGCTCTCCTCGCTTCTTATTTTCTCAATTAGTCTGTGTTTGATGTTGTTTTTATACAAGTTGCAGTCAGACAGTTCTGTGACATAAAAAAGTGAAACATACGTTTGTATTTGGCCAGTCTCCCTTTTTTATGAACCCTTGGGCAGCACTGTTGATATTTTAAGATTGTATCAATGATTACAGGTGCACATCTGCACTTTCATCTCAAACACCAACTTCTATGTCAGGCCAACTTGACCTTCATTATCAGGGATAATCGCTGGTGATGAAATCTACATCTGCAGGTATGACCTAACTAGGGAATCGCCATTTAAAGGGGCCAAGACTGAAGGTATCACAAATGCACCAGGAGCATGCATGTCATTTTCTTTACAGGTCACAGGATTGTGCACTTGTTCTTCCTGTGGAGTCTGAGGGAGAATGGTCAGGCTACCTGTGTATGATCAATACTAAAAAAATCAACATGAGCACAACAGCTGAAATGGTAAATCGACTGATTATTATAGAGCGCTTTTCTACTCAAAGCGCTCTATACAACATGCCACATTCACCCAATCACACCGAATCTCACAAGCACTTTCTCTAATCCGAGTGCTTGCTAATGACATTTACACACAGTCATACTCCCATGGATGCATCGGAGAGCAACTTGGGGTTAGTATCTTGCCCAAGGATACTTGACATGCAGGCTGGAGAAGCCAGGGATCAAACCACCAACCTTCCGATCAGTTGGTGACCTGCTCTACCTCCTGAGCTACAGCCACCCCATCATTTTGGAATTAAGTGGATTCTTAAATCAAAAATGATGTTCCATGTGTAAACGTGCACCAATGATCAACCATAAAGACTCTGATTAAGAATGGAGATATGTACAGTAGTTTAATGACTGTGTGAGAGCATCACTGGCTTTATTTCCAGACTGCAGAGTGTACACAATGCACATGTCCAGGTGGGGATGATGTGTATGTGTGTGACTGGAGAAGGCAGATTGTGTTTCAGCTTTCTCGGGTGTGCGCTGTGCACCTGACAGCGATCGTGTTCACTGCGCATAAGCTAAATTAGAGCTATCACCACGATCAATCACTTTGACGCTCTGTTCTGAAATTCTTTAATTCCCGGTGATGCTATCTTGGATATTAACCAGTGATGATCTTCCTTAATGTGATGAGGAAGACTCACTACATTCATATTTGGGAAAGGCACCCCAGACTTTTTCCTCATCCTGCCACATGCTGTCATTATCCTGTTAGCTGCTGTGAGCTACTCACCGTGAGCGTCAGTGTCAACAGTCGGACCCTCTGCTACGTTCTCCAGGAGTATGGAAGTTGATTGTGAAACACTGAGCAGATGTTGAAATTTAATTTGGCTCTCTGATACTGAAGTAACACTGCTGACATGAATGTTTATCATAAAATTAATGTTTTTCACGAAGTCTGCAAACCCAGTGCCAAAAGAGTTGGCACACTGAATGCAATGATAGAACATACAAAATATATCAGATGTTTGAAATATTTTCTCATTGTGAATTTGATGAAAGGAACACATCAGCCGGAGGAACATTTTGCACATAAGTCAGTTAGATAGGCAGCTGGTCAGTAATGTCATGGGTATAAAAAAAAAAAGACTTTGGATATTTCATCATTAAAATATCCTGGGAGGCTGGAGCAATGACTGAGCGCAAAGGACAACACCAAATATTAATATTGGATGCCTGAGGTCTTTGGGCTCTGAGGGCTCTGCATGAAAAACAGACATGAATGTGACATGGAAATCAGAGCAGGGCTCAGAAACATTTCAGAAATAACTGTCTGTGAACACGTTTTGCTGTGCCATCCACAAATAGAGGTTAAAAAAGAAGCTATATGTGAGAATGATCCAGAACCCTAGCTGTCTCCTCTGGACCAAAGCTCATCTAAAATGGACCGAGGCAAAGTGAAAAACTGTTCTGTGACTAGACAAATTGAAATTTGAATTTCTTTTTGGAAAATACGGACGCTGCATCCCCTGAACTAATAAGGAGAGTTACCATTCAGGTTGTAACCAGCACTCATTTCCAAAGCTGATATGGGGGTGCATTAGTGTCTGCAGCCTGGTCATCTGGAAAGGCACAGCCAGTGCATCTATAACAAGAGCATGGCTTTGTAGTACGAGAGTCTGGATCCTGGCCTGCCTGTACTTTAGACCTTCTGGCACATCATGAACTGAAAAATAAAGTTAGTTAAGACCCAAGATTGCTGAGGAGCTAGAGTCCTATATCAGACAAAAATAACAACAGTCTTCTCCAAAAAGTTTAGCAGCTGCTCTCTTTCAGTTTCCAGATGTTTATGGACAAAGAGGGAAGCTACACAGTGGTGAATGTGGTCCTGTCCTGGCTTTTTTCAGATGTGTTGTTGTCATCAAATTCAAGCACTATTTCTATACTCTAAATATACCATAATATTACCTAGTAAAAGATGCTAGACTACAGTTAAATCCATATTATGATCATTCTGCACCACTGCAAAACCTTTTGCCACTGAAAAGCAAACGTTCTACTTTACAACTGAAATGCGTGGACACTGTTATTCTGTGGCTAGCTTTATTGGAATGTGCATTTTATGGAGGAGAGTATCTAAATTGACGGTCAAACTAATCATCTTACTCTGCAGCTCTTGTGGCTGATACAGATGCTGTGTATCAGCCACAGCATCTGTATCGTTTATTTGAAAGTCAGAGATGTTGTGAGGACAAGCAGCGGCTTTGGATGGCTCAAAGCTATGATGCTCTGTCCCGTAACTCCTTAATGAGTTCCCCTGTCCCACATATTTCTGGTCCTTAATGATAGAGGTATTTTGATAAACAAAGCAGACTTAATTTACTTTGAAGCATCAGGGGGAAGAGGAGACTCCCAAAACAGCACAGTGAGGCAGACGAGTTTTTACAGTGAGTGATGCGCTATTAAAAAACCTAAAAATATGTCACCTAAAACATCATTCAGTAGCTTTTTGGGTTTTCTCCACTTTTGCCTATTGTTGTGGTGAGTTTTACTAAGATTTGCATGTTTAGATAACAGCTTTGGCAACTTTAATTTTCTTAGTCACTAAATTATGTGCATGTGAGGTTAGCAGTAAAATACTAGCTACAATTACATGTTCAGAAAATTTTGCTTGTAACCACAAAATTGAGTTGGAAGTTGACATATTTGGTTTGGCATTGATTTTTATGCCGGGCCTGGAACCAGCCGGGGTTTTACATCAGCTTGTGATTTGGTTGAGTTGGTTGTTACAATAAAAAAATGTCAGTTAAATATATTTTTTATTGTAACAACCAACGATTTATACAGGAAAATAATGACTATTAACAAGGTTGCCCAAACTTTTGCATCCCACTGTATCTGCCAAAATACAGCTACTAATGGGACTCACACAAATCTAAAGTGTATTTTATTATCTGAATGTTGCAATGTGTAATATTGGCTTTGATAAATGCTGGCAAGTTTATATGGCATGTAGCAAATCACAAGCAACCCACACAGGTGGCACAGTAGCTAATTTCATTATCATGTGGACGGATCAGGATGGGATAATAAACAATGTAATGTCTTTTCCACACACAACAGGTAATCATTGAGTCGCACATTAATTTATCCAGAAAAGGTTTTTATTATTATAAAGTATTCCATCAAATAATGTTCTCTAAAGCTGGGCTCACACTGTGTGATTTTTTTCTGCTCATTTTGAGCCAATTTTTCAGTCGTGCGACCGTTTTGGTGATCGGCCCGAGTTTGGCCTTCATCGTGTGTCGTGCATCGTGTAGTATACGTGGGGTAACGAGAAGCGATTAACACCTCTTGACCAGCTCCCGATCATCAATCACTTGGTCGTAAGAAAATCAAACCTGTTTGAAATCTTGTCGGCCGTTGTGAGGGTGTCACCGCAAACTCTCACACTGCGCACACACAAACACAGAAATGAAAGTGAAAAGACGGAGCAGCACGGCGGTGCAGCGTATGATCTGGACACAAGCGATGGAGGCAGAACTTTGGCAAGCTCATCTGAGCCTTTTCGATGTGGCCTCACAAAATTATCACGACCACAACAACCGTGAAAATAATTGGATGGACATTGCTGCTCAATCACAGCTGCCTGATCAATGTTTTTCATTAGCAATTTAGCAAAGTTGATGGTGGCGGTGTGCGTGTCTGTGTGAGTGAAAAACAGAGAGGGAGAGAAAGGGAGAGCGAGCGACAGATTTTCTGTTATAACCTTCATGTTATGGACGCACAGTGCGAGCACTCAGGTCGCATCAGAGCATCGGGCCGTATAGTGTGAGACCTGCATCATGACCTATGAAATTCTAACCCCTGCGAGTCAATCGTACAGTTCGAGCAGGAGCTGAATAACGCGACTGAAAAAAATTTGCACAGTGTATGCCCAGCTTAACTGAATTGATTTATCCAGATTGCTGATACAACATCCAAGACCCCACACAGTTTCTAGTATTTTCTTACAGTAGAGTCTGTCTTAATAGAAAATATCAGTTCTCATTGTTTCACTGCCATAGGTCTCATGCTAATTTGCTAAGGGTACAGGGGAGGTCGTTAAATGTTTTGTTTATGAAGCGAAGATTTCATGTCTGGAAAAGCCACTTGGGTTAATGTAAGAATGAAATACTGAAATGCTTCGAATGCAGTTTGACACGGTCCAAGTGGACTGTCATGTGTCTTTCAATCTGTGTAATGGTGACACACTATTTAAAGAAACCGTTAAAGGTGAACTGTGGTTTCACTTATCTTTTTTATTTAGGGACACACATAATGTATTTTATCCCCTTTGTAAAGAAACTGCACAAAATTATATAAATCTGTTGTCACAATCTGGGTGAAGCAGACTGTGTGGAGTGAGGACCCAAGTGCTGACACTGACAGTGCTGACAGTACAAAACAAAAGGGTAAGGGTGAAACTAAACTATAACCAAAACTGTGTGATCTAACGCTAACAAAAAAAACCTGGAACATGAACATTAAAACCTGGCATGAAATACCTGGACCAGGAAGGCTTGACATGAATACATGAAATCCCCCCAGACTGGA